TATAACAGCCATTAGGAATTTAAACTTGATATTCTAAGCATTAAGGTAATATCAACACAACATTGACTAATGCAAATTAATTTTAATTCCCGATACGATGAATACAAACGAATTATTATACGCATTTCTTTGAGTAGTTTTATAAACTAATCAGATATCGATGGTTTGCTTAATCTGGTTAAGAGGGTCATCTCCCAGTGGATACAATTTATCTTCAAGAGCTGAAAAACGGGTGAGGAATATTATGCATGCAAATGAAGGAGAGTAGACGAGATTCGCGGCTTCGACCAAAGAAAAACTTACGGTTAATTTTCCAAAAAATAAATAGTGTCGCGTCTCCGGCGTTCTGTGAAACGAGGGAGTGAGCGAGAACGCTTTTCCAAAACTTTTTGCGTTACATCACTCCTCTTCTGAATACGAACGAGCTTATTATACACATTTATATACATACCCTACACATAAGACGCAAATCTTGCAACCAACTCTACACGAATCATGCGAGATTATGTATTCATTAATTTTCAACGCGCTCACAAAAAAATATCATCCTCGATTTACTCACAGAAAAGGTATCCACAATTTCATTTCATAACAAAAACAACATAATAAAACTTACAACTTCAGCGTCAAATGAGAAAATAGATCGAGTTTTCTAATTGTGCGAGATTAACAACTATTTATGAAATTAAATCCTCACAGGAATATATCGTTTATATCCATTATATTCAACATAAACTTTATTGATAAATTTCAATCAATATAAATAAGAAAAATCATGTAAAATTACATGTTTTCATTATAATTAAAAAAAATAGAAAATTTTGCACATTTGAAAATATATTTTAAAATATTTATTTATTTTAGTATCTTTTACAATTCTTTGTGAGGTTTTTCTAAAAAACGAAAAATACGGTAATTTTTTGAAGCTTTTACTTATAATTGAACCGTTTATTTTGAACGTGATCTAAGTACATTTATATTAAAATTCACATATAAAAGAGTTTTGGTTTCAATAAAATTAAGTATCTAAGAAAGTTAAATAATAGCAATTATTAAGTGAATTCTTACTCCATAAATGGAGTTAAGCCAAGTGATTTGAAGAAGTCATTGAGTTATGGTGGTCATAATATATCATAGTAAATTCATCATATCCTTGTATTTCGATGTTGTAAATCGTCTCTTATTGTTGGTCTACCCCGACGTAGTAATAAATCCAGTATTTACTCTGCATTCTCTTCCATTGATAATTTTTCCTTACAAAATTGTATTTGGTTCATACCTCAAAAAACGCATTTTGCATATTTGTAATTAATTTAATGTTTGTCCATTAGAATTCTTTAACCTTTTAAAAACTGCGTCTTCCAAAATCTTGTGTATGATGATATGAAATCCTCTTGTTTCATTTAATTTAGAATGAAGTTATTACCCTTCCGGTAATACTAAATAATTAAAATTATCTTCATCGCTGCCTTCATAAATTTGAAAAATATTTTGTTTAATTATTAAACTAAGTGTAAAAATATATGTAAATATTCAAATATTCACACCGTACGAAATTGGGTGTATTTGAAGAGATGCGGGCCTAATCCAACATGTTCGTCCTGTTTTAGGGATGATGAAATGTTACAGAAGAAGATTGATGAAACGAAAAATCGGGTGGATGCGTCTGGGCCGTAATAAGACGATGGAAATGGGAGAGAAAAAAATAAGGGAGAAGAAGAAAAAAAGGACACACCGAATGTGGGTTCATCCTTTCCTCTTTCTCTCTTATATATATTTTTTTTGCAGCAGCAAGAATTTTAATGGCCTCACTTTTTTTTTCTATATTGATCGAAGACCGAATTCTTTTTATATATCGTACATTACGTTCGATTTCTATACGTGACCTTTTTGATGGATGATGGATCAGCGGAATCAATTTACTTAAGAATAAACAGAAATTATTTGAAAAAAAAATATAAATTTAAATTCATAAATAATATTGATTCGAGTGGAAATTGCATTCAATGAACAAGAAAATATAACAGAAATGTTAACGATTAAAATAGTTATTTCATTCTCTTTAAGTAAAATAAATCATTAAATAATTTTGAAAGATGAAAAGTATTAAGTGACAACGAAAAAAATAATACTGCACGATTTTTCCAAACATTTATTAGAAATAAGTATGAATTATTTTTATTTTTATTTTAGTTACAATTATATTTTGATTATTATATTATCTAAACTTAATAGGTACTTGGTCAATTATTACAAAATTGAAAAAAAAAAAACAATTTTATGCTATAAAAATGTGAGTGTTATCAAACACTTTATTTTCTATACAAAATTCAGCTACAAATTTGCTAGTTATAAAAAACAACTATCAAATTGAAATATCCTTTGCTCCGTCGACTTTAAAAATTACCTCGGGCAAAACATCTCGAGTGCTAATTGTGTGTCAATTATTGTGAGTAGTTTAAAAATGCAATAAAAATAATGAAAATAACAATGACAATAAACTAAAAATGTGCATAAACAAAATAAAATTTCCATTGTGTTGAAGTGGACAAAATGGAATGTACACACTATACGCAATAATATAAAAAGAGTGCTTTGTATTTTTTTATTTGTTTATTACAAACGTTTCATTTTTTATTGTTGGTAGTCGTTTCAGAATTGAATTGAATTGAATTTTATTTAATATTTCATTTGTATTAAAGTTCTAGTTGTTTCAAAAATTGGTTTGATAGATTACTTAAAAAGTTTCACTAGAAATGAAATTTTAAAAAGCACATTTTAAAGTAGAGTAGAATTAAAACTAGAGGAACTACTGCTATTTTGCTATTTGTCATAATATAATTATTTATGCACTCCGTCTGGCAGTAATACATGTTGTGTATAAAATACACCACGCGAGTAGTACATAGAAATTTCGGTTCGCGAGTAGTTAAAACCACTAATTGAATAATATTATTTTAATGTTTCTAAAAAAATATATATTTCATAATCTTCGCTTTTCAAACTATTACCCATCAAAAATCATTGGAACACAGATTTTCGACCTTCCGACGTTCGTAATCAATATCTCATTTGCACGCTATTCAAACGGACGGACGTATATATATATATATAGTATACACTATATAGTATATTCCACATGGTGCATACTATATATTATACACGCCCAATTTTGCATGCGCAAAATTGATTTAATTGATTTCGCAATTTAGAATTCGCGTGTTTATCCACCAGCTAGAATTATTTCAAAATAATTAATGCGAATCAATTTGAAATGTCCGAGCGTTACGATTCTGGTTTGCGTAATTATAATAATAATTGTTGATTTCTCTTTGTCGTTTTTAAAGTCCGGTTTCATGTGGGTCAAGTATCGTTAATTGCAATCGAAAATTATATGCGTTACCTCTCATTTGTGTATTTCTTTCCTTTCATTTAAATTTTCATGTGGTGTTTCATCGGCGTTTCGGGAATCATTGAATCGATGATGAGAGGAATCCAATTAAAATTCATAACACCCAAATCCGATGTGTTTATTTCGTGCACGTATAGAAATGCATGTATATTTTTTTCATTGGTGCGTGTTGCCAATTTACTATTAATTTAAAATGTTATATATTTATTTTTCTTTTTCATTTATTTTTGTTTATGAAGTAGGAGGATTTAATTGCAAATTGTTATTTGTTCATCGGATTTTGTTTAACTGTAATTAGGATCAAAGGTGAATTCCATTCGCATATCGGATTATTTATTTATATTTTGTTTAAATTGGATTCTCGTCGCATTGATTGCAACATTTTGTATTTAATTAACTTTCGATAGGATGTTTTCTATATAATTCAAATGTTGCGTTAATTTTGGGACATCCTTTATTAACATTATTTTTTGAAAACCGGTATTTATGTAATTCAAAAAACCGGTTTTTGAGCCTAGACTTAAAATATACAAGTAAATAAATTATTTTAATTACCAGAAACAAAAAAATGTATTTTTTAGAGAAAAATCGAAAAGCGGTTTTGTAGAAAAGTTAATATTCGAAAGCCGGTTTTTAAAATAGTTGGTTTTTGTATAAAACTCTATTGGGTACAAACTAACCAAAACTTTTAAAACTGGAAAGTTTGGGCAACCCCGACATATATACCTTCTTGCTACTGACTAACGATTTGTAAAAGCACATCTAAAGCATAATAATTTTAGAAGAGTTTGTCAAACAACAGAAAATGAACCGAATGCAGATATTTTACAAAAATTAGCAAAGCCAAACAAAATTGATGATATTTTTTGTTATATTTTTATAAAATAAACATGGTTGAAAGATAATATGTATTATTTCTTCCTCAGTCTAATTAATTATATATTTATATATATTAATTACTAACGTTATATTTCTCAGACGCCCCGCGTCACTCAAAATTTCAATATTTCATTGAAAATATCAAAAATTATTTTACTCGTTTATTTAAATATATATTATTTTTTTTTCTGTTTTTATTTTCTTTTTTTTCAGTCTGACAAAAGCATTCAACTTATAGCCTGAGATGTTGGCAGGTTGTGAATGAACAATAAAAGTTAAAAAAAAACATTTGAAAAATTGCTAAATATATTTTTTTTACAAACACTTGAAAGTTAAGAAAATTTCAACTAATTACTGAAAACATTATTAAGAAATGTATTACATCATTTTTGGAAATCGATTGGATAATACAAATTATTGATGATTTATTTAGTTAAGTTATGAACAATATAATTTATTTATTGATTAATGTTGTTTTTTTATAATGTATTGGAAATATAAAAAATATATTAATTAGGCGTAAAGAAGTGATGAAACTTTGATGTTGAAATAAAATGCGATTTTTTTGCTATTGATTCTTAGAAGAATGATTTTTTCAATATTAAATATTAAATTGATTGTTCAAAGTTACAGAAAAAAGTGAATAGAAATGCATATATTAATGAATGCTAATTGGCCAGGAGGAATAAAGTTGTTATGAGCTCCTTACCAGTTTGAAGCTGCAGCAAATGCGAGAATGGTATTCGAGTCTCGCAGGACGTGGAATATGCGTGCGTCAAGGATGTAATTATATAGTCCAGAAACTTTGTTGGAAGTCACAGGCAGTGTCACACAGGAAGGCGCAATTTAGTTACGCTCATGAAAGAGTCATTCGGAGCTTTAGAAGTGAGCGAGACTTGGGGGCGGTGGCAAAGGCCGGCGGCGAATACTTCTCAAAGGACCGAAGTGCTATATTGTATGTGTGTACTATATACATATATATCGCGTGCTATATAGTTTGAGTCTGGATATGATCAGTATAGAGCTCCGGCCGAGATACGGTTCGGTACTAACTCTCGTGCGTCCCGCGACCGACGCCCCTCGTAGTCGGGCGTCGCGACGGAAGGCGTCGATCTACGCCGGTCCAACTTGGAGCTCCCTCATATCATTATTATCATCATCGTAGTCATCATCTTTTTGAGGGACGCCCACTCAAATCCAATTTATTCATATACACATTTATATTTCAGGTACAGGAATTCCTCTCATTCATGACATCCATACTTGGAAATGAAGTATCGTTTCATGTTTTTCCTGGAAGCATCCTGCTACCGTCTTCAGTGAAACGTGTATTCACATGTATTCCGCGAAGAGAAGGGAATCAAGTTATATAGAATTTATACAATTACTCTTTGGTTTAACTCTCGTAATTAAAAGATCGAATTGAGCATACAGAATAAATAAATATATAGATATATAAATCATTATAAAATCTTAGTTTAAAAAAAATGTAAAATATGCAATGTATTAAAAGTATATGCAGGTAATTATGATTAAATAATATTTTGAATATTAAAATAATTATATTGAAATTAGAAGATAATACATTTTTGGTTTGGTCTATTTTTTTTACAAATTCAATATTTTTAAACAAAATTTTACATTAATAATTTTAGTTGCAATTTACATATATATATTTTAATACAAATTTCCTATTGGACCTGCCACATCCACCAAAGAATTAAAAACTTTACCAAAATTAATTTGGTATAATAAATTGTTGTTTTTTAAATTCATTAATTCCTTTTTATACATTTATTGTATTTATTGCAGCGCATTTACCAATTCATACTAGATTAATAAAATAAAGGAAACTAAATTTTAACAATTTTAAATAAGTTTATTATTTTTTAGTCAGGTGCAAATATAGATGTAATTCGAATTGTATTTTGCATGATCTTTTTTTTGCAAAGATAATAAACGTTTTCGAGTTGCAATAGCTAAATACAGACTCACATAGTGCTATTCTGCCAATATCCCAAATCCGGAGTAAATATATAAAAAAAAAACGTATAAAAACAGCTTTGAAAAAGCCGATTATTCCTATATAAACAAACATGAAAATGTACTGTTTTTTTTAAATATTTTTATTTTGATTAATAAAAATTTAGTTTATTTTGAATTTGTTAAACCGTGCTAGCAATATATATTATTTTATTCATTTTCTGTATAGAAAATTTATTCAATTCATAATTTAACTGATAATATTATTATAATTATTTTATTTTATAATGGAACTAAATGATTAATTTAGCTGTGTTATTAAAAAAAATGTTATAAATTAAATGAAAAGGAAAAATATTTGAACAATATATCGAAATCCTCGAATTAATTGATAAATAAAACATGATATAATCACAACACACGCGTTAAATATGCATTGTTCCATTTTATTATTATAGCTTTATTGCGTTAAATTGAATTTCAATATCGGATATGCATCGATTATAAATAATTCGAAAAATGTTTTTTTGAGACTGGTCTTAAATTCTAAAATATACACATTTAGTAAAGATCTCTCTCTATATGTATAAGATTTAATTTTGAAAATTAAGGACTTCGCCGTGAAACGCGCCGCTAACAATCAATAAAATGACACACAATACAATAAAAATTCCCTTTTAACTACTCTTCGCCAAAAGAGTGTCCAATATTGCAGTAGGAAGAAATCTTACAACAACGTAAACATCGTTTGACACTAAGAATTAATGCGACGTTTGTTTACATGTAGCAAGTGATAGAATATTTTAATAGGACCTAAATGCTGACAAAGAAGAAGAGAGGTTTTTAGTGGGTAAGAATCCCAAAATACCACGAATCTACCGTGGTCCCAGTGCAATGTTTTCCTCTCCTCCCGAAAAAAAAGTGATAGAATATTGTTCATTTCTGCATATTTTGTATCCAAAAGAAGGACTTATTTGAGCAATAGATTTGTAGAAATTATTTACTTTCTAAAATCAAATCTAAAATCTGAGAAAAATAAAACAATAAAATTTATATATAGATAGTTTTATAATTTTTTTTATTATGTCATAGTATATTTAATTTACAATCTTATACTTGCAAACATTAATTAAATCTAATGGTGGTAGACATTTGTTTTTTGGTAATTTTTTTACCAACAAATTACAGAAGACAATAGCAAGCACCGAGAGGTCTCACAAAGGGACTGCCATGATCAGGATTCGAACCGGCGTCCACGGAATCGAGGGTAGGGCGACTTAACCACTTGATTATTAGTCGCCATTATGAAATATTAGCAAAGTTCTAAAATTTCGTTTGCGATATTGTATTTTGTTATATTTTGTATTAAGTTAAACAAAAAAAAAATAATTTATAAAAATCCATTGTCTCATTTCTTTGTAAAAATTCAAAAACCGGTTTTAAACGGTTTGGTAGAAAAGTTTAAATTCTAAAACCGGTTTTTTAAAAGTCGGTTTTTGCGTAAGAAACGTTATTTCCTTTAAACAAAACAAAACGAAACGAAATTTCCATTAGCAGATTCAAATAGTTTAAAAAAACGAGTTTTTTTTTTTTTTTTTTTTGCTGTGAGTTTGTGATTTATAGAATGCTTTGGTAGAGCGCATTTTCACTTTGATGGAATTATCGGCTGTCGAATTTATAGATTTCCTGCGTCGAGCTGCACAGTTTTAAGTAGAAACCTATGTACGCGATGAAATATATACGAAATACAAGCGCAGTTACTATATAAATGTGAGCGAGTAAAACGTAATTCAAAAAAAGAAATATACAAAAGAAGTTTAAAAGTTAAAATAACATGAAATAATGAAGGTTCATTTTTAATTTGTTTGTTAAATATGTTAAAAAGAAGGAGTGGCTGGAAGCGGACCGTTAAAGCGTCGGCCAGGAAGATTATTAAAAGGGAGCCTGCATTCAACTTGCATTTTTAATGGATTCAATTGCTTCGAGCAATAACAGTAAAGGATAACGAAAGAATTAGTGAGGGAGGAATGCTTGTGTAGCTGCAGGTATCGCGGCTGGAGGTGTAATTACATAGAGCAGTTGGCGTTGTCTGCCATCCCTCCTACCCTCGAGACTCGCATTTCCACCCACCTCCATCCCATTGTGTACGGGATTAGAGGGGTGCGTCTGCGGGGGAGGTGAAGGAAACAATAATTATTGCTGCTGTTGCTGCATCTCTGGTGGCGTCGGAGGCGGCTTTCCAACGCGCGCTCGTGAACGCGTGATGCATGTGACGCCACCGCCTAGCGTACACCCGAAATCTACGAGACAATAAGGAGAAGTACGTTAATCACGTCTCTGCACGCATTCAAAATTTGTTGTGTAACTTATTGCGGCAACCGTCTCCGCATTTTCGTAATAATATCTAATTTACAGTTTGACACTATATAGAAATACCAATAAAAGTATTTGATTGGAAATCATATAAAGTAGTAGTAAAGAACAATATATCTTTGAATAGACCAATAAAAACAAATAAATATTTCGACGAAGTTATTGCAGGTACTCAAAATTTGTTGTATAACTTATTGCGGCAACTCCCTCCACATTTTCGTAATAACGTGTTTGCGATGATACCACCATGGACTTCGATGATTTGGTCGCCGCACAGCCCAGTTTGGGTACCGCTGCCATTATTGTTATGAATAAGAAAACCGATATCATTAAAGCTATTGCTCATTTAATTATGTTTTACAAACACGAATCAAGTGGTCAATGCACACACGGTAACGCGAAACCCGACGATATTGATATGTTGTTGAAGTTGAGTAAGCAAATCGAAGGGCACACAATTTGTGTATTTCAGGCCTGAATTGGAAGAGAGGATGAGGAACTTCCATTGCCAACAGAAGAGCGTGATATACAATTAGAAACAATTAATAACCGATGTTATATAAATATATTATTGAATAGACCACTAAAATCAAACTAATATTTCGACGAAGTTGTCGCAGGCAATACAAACTTCTGTAATAACATAAAATGAGACATGTAAATCCATTAAAGTTTCCTTCGTGCAATCAGTGTATTCTTTTTTTTTGACATATATTCATATAATTGTTATGTTTACTGAACAAAAGTATTAACAAAATTTACTAGCCAAACAGTAATTTTTAGGATTTAGTTTTCAAATATGTATTTCACTTTTTTTGTTTATGAAGATCTAAACATACTGTGATAATCGCAGTGATTAAAATAAATGTTTGTTGTTTAGAGCGGCGGACACAAACCTTCTTGACCTCACGGACCATTAATTCAAAATACTTCCGCGGACCACCATCATATTTTTTTTCATAAAAATAAAATCTAAATATGAAAAAATACATACACTAGTTAGGTATTGCGTTTTTTTTTTATAAATATGCTACTTACTAATACAGAAATTGGAAAAAGTAGAACCAGAATACAGTAAAACAAAATAATATTTTTTTTATACATTTTTTTCTGTCGTTAAGTATGTGGTTATTGGTTATTGTTGTAAAAAATATTATCATTGTAATTCAAAGTAAAATTTAAATATATTGAACATTATTTGTTAATTTTGGAGAAACTTTATTTGAAATTAAATTTGCTTCAAGCAAATATTGAATAATTGCCACTAGTAGCAGATTTCTATCAATATTATATGTAATATTAAATGCTGTAATTAGGCCCTTAAATTTAGGACGAAGCAGATGAAACAAAATTAATTACTATCAGAAAATGGAAGCAATATAGAATTTAATTGTTGAATGTATTAAATACCAGTATTTAATAAATAATTCATTAATATGGATTACAATAGTCAAGGGAAAATTATTGTGTAAGGAAATATAAAAATAAAAAACTTTGCATATATAAATTGAGCTGCAATATTATTGGACAAAACTAAATGTAATCTAATTTAATTTTAATAAGTCATTACTTAAGTTTCTCAATTGAACGGTTTCAGAGAAAAAGGAAAACAAAAATTAAGGTGTAAAACAGTACTTACTGAATCTGACGACCATGAAATCAACAGATTATTTCTTGTGGAATGGTACAGAAAAATCTGAAACAA